GCAAAAAAATATTAATACAAATTTTAATTAAAGAGGCAATTTTTGGTGGGGGGGGTTCCTCATCTGCTTGACCCCATTGAGATCTTATTGCTTTGTTTGGAAGGTTCCGCGGTTTGGCCTTTTTTACATTTCAAGTGCTTTTATTAGAGCTGGGTATCATTAAGAAGTTGCCGATACGATACATATCTCTGTACATAGGCCACGATACAATACATATCTCGATATAGTGCACTTTCGATTCAATGCGATTCAATACGATATATTTCAAATCAATGTGATATGGTTCAATAAAAATAATGTCTAAAGTGTGACTGTGATTAGGGGTGTGCATTGCCTTGAGTCTGACGATGCGATACATATCATATGTCATGATTCAACATGTCACGATATATCCTGATACTAAAACAGTGGTTGATATATTGCGATATAATGATTGATATAGTCAACTACACCTTCAACAGAATTGTATGAAATATAATTATAAAAAAATGTTTAAATCATGAGAACAGTGAACGTAACTAATTAATTTTTGTGAAAAATAATATTTTAGAAAATCGATTCAGATCCGTTTTGAATCGATGTTGTGCAAAGAAGTATCACGATATATTACTGAATCTATTTTTTCTTACACCTGTAGCTGTGATACTTTGTTAAACCATGTCTTGTGCAAAGTGAATATGAAATACACCCATTTTTATCCTCAAAATAGTGAAAATGTCAAATGTGTCACACAAACGAGTTTCCTTCCACTAAACAAGCAACAAAACTGTAGCACTGTATCAAAATAATTTATTAAAATATACCAAAATGTACTATTGGTGATATACATCGATACAGCAGCCCTCAATATTGATACTGTTTTATCACATTAAACAATACAATATATTGATATTTTGATATTTTTGCACATCGCTAGTTTTTATTCCTCAAATACACATTGAATACATTGAATACATACATATATACATACATGCATACATATATACATACATGCATACATATATACATACATACATACATACATACATACATACAGTGTTTTGGTGAGCATGGTCGCCTCTCCACAGATCTGATTTGTAGCTTGGCCGAGTGGTGTCACATTTTTACATGGAGATACATTTAATGCCACTCTGTAGAATAGCGACAAGCAGGTGGTCAACCTCTGCCAGAAAAGTTCCATAGTGCCCCTTTAATTAAAATCCTTCAGCGGCCTCTATGTATTTTATGGCTTGAATAAAACACACCTGGTTTATGGTCTGTAAGTAATTAAGTAAGTAAAATGTATAATCCAGTGTAATTTTTAAATTTTCACACATGGTAGTAACTTTTCCAGATTGGGGCTTGTGTTAGCCTGGTGCAGTTGGCAGTGCCCAGGGGTTGTTGCCATGCAGTTGAATGTGGCTGTCCCATAGACACTCTCACACTCAAACTCACACACTCAAACACACACTGCCCGCTAACAATGGTACGCTTTATGAGGTGCCCACTGGTGCCATGGTAACCCCACCGTTCTGGGCAAAGACGGGCCGAGCGCTGTGCCAAAGAAATGCCAGGCTCCCCTTCTCTCCCCTTTCCTCTCTCGAACCGCGCTGCCCAAAAAACCTTTAGGAACTTAATGAGTGAGACCAGTGGGCAGACAAATTACAATGCTGGAGGTGCTGAGGTTTTACAGTGTGCAGGGCTGGGCGGACAACAAGGAATTTTTTACTAGATGATTCAAATTGTAATTGTTTTTTTGTTTTTTGTTTTTTTTTGTCTTGTAAACACATTCAAAGTTGTTGAATTTAGGAATAAAAAAATTGCTCATAGCCAGTGCAGAGAAAACCGCTTAATAGCTGCAATCTGATTATTCACTGAAGTAATCCACAGCAATTTGTCAATTACTAGTCGTGATTAGGATTATATAAACTATACACATATTGGTAAAGTTACACCGCTGGTCTGTCTGTATGTAAATATGCTCTCTATGGTACTATAGCTTTAGATTATGGGGTTTAAATCTAGAAATGTTATATTCAAGGGCCTTCGGGATACTGGATTAATCAAAATGCCCTAATGGACAGAGTAATTGTTGATTAAGTAATTTGGGTCCTTCCAAACTAAGTTTTATCATTATTATTATTATTTTTATTTTTTTCAAGTAATTACATTTTTGAGGGGTTTTTTTCCAACCCATGGTCAATGACAAGAGCCAGTCATATTCCTGCAAATACAGTTAGAGGTTAAGTTTAACCCTTAAGATTGCAAAACTAATTTTTTTTTGGAATAGAATAGATTTTCATCATTGCAATTTGTAAAATAAAATGGTTTTAAACAAAACACAGTTTGATTTTGTTGGCTGTTAGCAACACTGGAGATGGAACATTTTTTTCCAATAATAATTATGTTAATTATGTTATGTTTAAAATTTAATGTGGACCTTGAGTATCTTATTTAACCCCAGACATCATTAATGGACTGTAAACTATGCAAAACAATTCAATGCAAACCTCATTATACTTTAAAATCATATACCATTTCCAAAGGTGCAGCCAAATCAAGTAATATTCATGAATCAAACTTTTGGAGTATCTCTTTACTGTGTGAGCTCTTAACCCACGCAGTCACCCAATCTGGCAACATAACATACACAGCACAAAGGCCTCACACTGATCCTCGCCCCTCCAGGTGAGATGGAAACTTCTGTATGTTTATAAATGCAGAGGATGCATTTGGAAATCACCCCGGGTCGTCCAGGCACGCAGCCCAGTCTCTGGCACTGCTCAGTCCACACCATAAAGACTGTGGAGGAGGTGGGGGTCACAAAATGGAGTCGCATCTAGGGCTTTTAACATCTCTGAAAATCCATGCCAAATGTAGCCCGTCCAGCAGACTATCATGTGAGAATTGGTGTAGTAATTGCTACTTGTCCCTCTCCGCCATCACACACCCTTACCCTGCAACACGATGAGCCGCTAACATGTAAAACAGCTGGGGATATAGGCTGTTTGAAGGCTGGTTGAAGACATAAGTGGCCACTGCATTTGTGGCGAAACAGAAGGACGGACAGCAAGGTGCAATTATGTGGCTTGCGATCAAAACCTGTGCATTTTCTTTTACAATAAATAACTATATAATGGATTACACGATGTTATTTAACCACATGCTTAAGCAGACAAATTAGTGAGATAAGAACGGTTACACACATTACCAGTGCAACATTGTGAGTATGATGGATTTGTCATAGATATTCTGAAGATGAATAGGGCAGAGGCAGATATGTGGAGATATGGTGGAGGAGGAAACAAATGAATAATGAAGTGGAGACAGAGAGTGCATTTAAGTCAAGTGTAAGATGGCAATATTGAGTGTGTGACTGTTGTTTTGAAGAGGAGATGATTAAAAATAAGGATTATACCTATGCTGCGATCTTTCAAACAAGGATTATTTTGCAGTCCATATATATTTGTCTGATATTTAAACCTCAACTTCTACACGTAAAGGTCCTATATTACACAAAATTGACTCTTGTGAACTTTAAGCCATGTTAGAATGTTGTTACCTCCCCATAAACATACCCAGAGTTGTGTTTTGTTTCATTCACACGTTTGAGTAATCCTGCATTGTTCGTCTGTTTACATCTCCAAACCTCAAAATGCTCAAAAAGTAAAGATAGGCAATTCCAGGGCTGAAATTATCCAAATGATTCTAGTGACAATTTCTGGAGTTTAAAAACACGGTGGAGTACTTCCTGACATCACAAGGTTGAACTCAGCATTTTCTGTTGGAGAGAAGAACAGCGACTAAATATGCAGAGTTTGTTTGTTAAACGTGTGTGAATAAACAAAACACAACCCCAGGTATGTTTTTGATGAGGAAACATTAGAACAAAGATCAGAAAATAGAGTAGTATGGGCCCTTTAAAGAAATGTTGAGCACATTTCTGTTGGATTGGCAAAATATCATACAATTATCATTCTTTGTTGTCAAGGTAATTACTTTTGTACAATAAGATTACATGCATTAAGATAAAATCCATTTTACTTAAGATTTGATTTATTCTTTGTCCTCTTTACCAAAGTACATAAGCAAATCTTGGCTTATTTTATAACTTTTTCACCAATAACGTAACTTCATTTGGGCTCATTTGCAGAACTCATCACATATACACTCTGTACAATGAAAACACTGCAGTTTCAAGTTCCACACTGTACCCAAGTGAACTATATACCCTGATAGGAAACATTCCTAAACAGCAAATCCCCCATTGTACAGGGACAGAAAAGCAAACAAACCCATAATGCATTTTGTCTTGTAAATAAATCCAGCGTTTTGTTCCAAACACCAGGCTAGCCCCACTCTCACTGTCTGCCTGCTCTTATGTTTCCTCTCACAAGCATGTCTAAATCAGATCTCTATAACGCCGTCCTCATGGATTCTGACTTACTGTTTACACCGCACAGGCAAATGGCTTGGCTTTGTTTTTATTGTGCTCATGAGCTGCACATTTCCTTCTGTTTTCAATATATTCCATACAAACAGCCACTTCAGCCATAAAGATTGAGTATATGTGTTGTCATGATGGAGATGGGTTAATAGAACCATCTCACCATACGACTCTTATCCACCCCAGTGAAGAAGGACCTCTCACTGTCCACCTTATCCTCTGTAGGGATGGTTTGCATGCATTGAAGATAGATTTTCTTCTTTTTTCTGTTTGCTTGTGTGCACATCATATCAAAATTGAGGCTAACAAGGACTATACTTGGAGTTAAACCAGGGCTAAACCAGGTTTACATCAGATCTAAAATCAAATCAGGACTGAGCCAGAACAAGTGTGAATGCAACCTTACTTTGAGTGATTTTTTTTTCTTTCCCCTGATGTAATTTTTAACAATGAGTTTATATTTTTTATGTCTGCCCCATGCACTATGTTCAAAAGTTCTGTTACATGCTTTTTGTCATTGAAATTGTATTTGATCATTAATACTGTACATTTCACTCTCTTTCTACCGTCTCAGAAGAACCACTGTCCCTCATCACCACCTCAGCAGAAGAACTGTCCTATCACCACCTCAGCAGAAGAACTGTCCTATCACCATCTCAGCAGAAGAACTGTCCTATCACCATCTCAGCAGAAGAACTGTCCTATCACCATCTCAGCAGAAGAACTGTCCTATCACCATCTCAGCAGAAGAACCACTGTCCCATAACCACCTCAGCAAAAGAACGAACTGTCTCCTCCACCACCACCTCAGAAGAACCACTGTCCCCCATCACCGCCTTAGCAGAAGAAATGTCCCACCATCACTTCAGCAGAAGAACAAACTGTTTCCCATCACCACCTCAGCAGAAGAACCACAGTCCAAACACCACCTTAGCAGAACTGTCCTATCTTCAGCAGAAGAACCACAGAATGGACGGTCTCCAATCACCACCTCAGAAGAGGGACTGTCTCAATACCAACTTAGTAGAAGAACTGTCACATCACCATCTCAGCAGAAGAACCAGTGTCTCCACCACCACCTCAGCAGAAGAAACACTGTTTCCACCACTGCCTTAGAAGAAACACTGTCCCCCATCACCACCTCAGCAGAAGAACCAGTGTCTCCACCACCATCTCATCAGAAGAACTGTCCCATAACCACTTCAGCTGGGGAACTGTCCCACCACCACCTCAGCTGAAGAACTTTCCCCTTCATCATCTCAGTAGCAGAAGCATTTCTTGTGGGCAGAATTCCGTTCAGTGTTTATGGGCATGCAGCTGTGCTTGTCTGCAGAGGAAAGCCACACTCAGGGTAACTGGCTGTTTGCGTGTTTCCTAAATGGACCAAGCAAAGAGCAAACAATACAAGTTTGTATCATATTAAAATGTTGTTTGACAAAGAGAATACAATTTTGGTGTATGTCAATTCCAATATAGCTCTTGTTTGTTTGCACAAGTCATAACATGTCAAAATTAGACTTCCCAGTCTGGTTTTCAAGTGCTTTTTGTGAACACAAGAGGGTTCTGTGGAATGATCAAGTAACAACATGACCTTTGACCTCACAATATTACCACAATGATACCCACACACAATAGATTTTCACCTTGGTTTACTTGAGCTTAAAGAGAAGATTTTAAACCAGTCCTGTTGCTCAGCGCTACCCATGTATGTGAGATGAGCAGCAGAGAAATCAATAGTAGAAAATTGATTATGAAGCTCAAGCAAGTACGCTGCATTCATGTGACTGCATTTTCAAATTTCTCGTCTTATCCCAACTTTCCTGGCAGCGGCGTTTGGCTCGTAGGTGGGATACAGTGTGTTTAGCCTCATTTGCATATTTGTGATCACACTGCTCTTACATGGGCCCGGCACTGGCCCCTCTTTTGGACATGTCCCTGTGTTGGAGTGATGGGCGTGGGTCTGGGTGAGGCCTGGGTGCCACTTCTCTGGCTTTCCCTCCGCTTGCACCGGCTGGCTGTAAATGAGCAGCAGAGCGCTTTGGCGCAGGAGAGCTTGTCTTTACTGGCATGTGCTTATATGGGAGACTTCTGACTGCTGTGGTGGGCGCGAGCTGGACCGGGACTCAAATGTTCTTTAGAGATGTAGTACAAGTTTTAAAAGCACAGACGATGTTCAATGTTCAAATCGACTTCAGTGGACATGTTTAAAAACAGGGGGTATACTATGTCTCGATTTTACCACATGAGATACAATAGCCTCTTTTTCCTACTAATAGCATTTTATTTTGATAGGCTATGAAAAACTGATAAATTCCCAAATCTTCCAAATCTTTTTTGTGACTAGTCCCCAGAACTTGATATGTAGCAACAACAAAAATGGATTTTACTCCAATTAACTCTAACTAGCCCCATCTGTATTTAATGTTATTGTACAATTTCTTTTTCATATGTAAAACTAGTACTAAAACAAAATACTTTATTCAGATGTTGTTTTATGTTTTGACATAAACATTTGCCAAAGGGGCCTATAGTTGTAGAGCCTAGGAGTTTGGCAAGTGCGGTCCAGTCAAAGTACACTGCAACCATGTTTGTTGGTGTTGATAAAAGGGAGTTTATTACATGCATTGTATTGTGCTTTGATTCTCCCTCCAATACAGTGTCCAACGGGCCCCAGTCTAACCTGGCTCCTACATCTGAGCCTGGCCTGGGGCCTCCTGGAACCTGCCTATCACACACACACCACCTCCCTATACGCGCATACATGTTTCTATACTTATCAAACTACAACTATCCTACAGTGCCTCCTGTACAATACTATTTGACCCAAAGGAATAATGTTATCAGTCTACAGATTAAGATAAGTCTTGTATGGCAGGAGAAAACAGTTGGAACGGGTGACCAGTGAGGCACAGCTGCTTGGAGGAGACTCATCTCGGACTCCCCTCTCCATCCAAACACACTCACAGACACACACACATCACAGATCATGGGCGACATACAGTATATACCAGCACATGCACAGCCCTAGTCCCAGTAACACAGCTCACCCTGTTACAGATAGGCTGACTGGAGGCAGGCACGACAAAATGGCGTGGGAGAGGCACAGTGACCCGGGGCTCAGGTGGCAGCTCTGTTATGACGTCTCTGCCCGCTCGTGGTGGATGGTAGGACACACACTTCCTGTATTTCAATGTGTCTATTTTTGTGACTGGATTGTCCTTTTCTTTTGTGTTTAAATGTGATGCTGTGTTTGCTTATGGATCTGTCAATTTCTAGTGGATTGGAAAGGCCAGAGCTGGGCCTATTTCTGTAGGCAAGAGAAAGACAAATGTAAGTACATCTGCAGTATTATCAATAGCACATGTAACATGTGACATGAATGCATTTAGCTTTTTAATTGAGCTTTTCTTGTGCTAACATGATATTAATAGTGGTCATGCTACTTTCTACCACTAGATGTAGTCTTGAGCTCTATGCATGTAATGAAAGTTGGTTTATTTCTTTAAAAAAAAGAAGAAAAAAAAAAAGTAAAGTAGCTTAATTGAAAATTTAATTTAAAAATAAGTTTGGTTTTTTTGGGCAAACATATAGTTATGGTAAGTCTGCTGATAACTTAATGAAATAATTGTAGATTGGTGATGTGTCCACATGTAAAGAACATTTTTAATACTTGAGAAGCTGAGATAGAAGTCTTCTTCCTGAATACTAATCATAGAATCATCTAGTGACTGCATTAGTGATTGACTCTATCGCACAGATCTGGGGCTTATCCCAGAGGAGAGCAGTTTTTAATTAAATCCTTCTTTACACCAGAGAAACGGATGGAGCTTTTTATTAAGGCCATGACAGAGTGGGCAGTTTGTCTGCTGAAAGCTACTTCCGGTCAGTGCAAATGAATGCAGTCATGGAAAAGCCAGTGAGACAATCTTAGGGCAATAGAAATGTTGGACTCTATAATGAATATTTATTTTTTCACATTTGGTAATTTTGCCATGCATGTGGCATGGGGCTGGTAGCAGTAACATTCCGATATTGAATATGAAGATTGTCTTCGCGGCATGTTTTGTATCTCATAATGAAACTAGCTGTATTTTGTCATTCTGCTCTTCCTGACACAAACAGCCACAGTTGTGAGATCAGAGAGCTGGACCCCCCCGTCTCACTGCAGTGACAACATCAATCAGGCAGTCCCCTGGTGCCCCCGCCCCCCTCACACCCTGCCCCCCACCACGCCTCATGAGTGGCATCTCGAGGCCTGACACACATAGGACAGTCCCAGTACAGGACTGTTTATGTAGGCCAGGAAGACACCCTCACTCACCCCGGGATAGGCAGGGATAGAACTGGGCAAAGCTCAGTTCTCTTTTATCTTTTACTTCCTTAAAGTTGAGCAAAAAATATTTTACCCAGTGCAGATATTTTGCAGATATATTCTTTACATGCATTACATACTGCATTTCAACAATATACATTTTAACTGCCCCCATCTATGTTAGAAATTAGTAATAAAGTAATAGATTAACTTTTTTTCCCCTGTTATTATGATAAGAGGGCAAGGATGGCCAGCGGCTTTGATGCCCCACGCTGAGGTGTAAGGCCAGAGGGTGACAGTGGCGGGTGCAGGAAGGGAGGGCCAGGCCTTTGGGGGTGACAGGGTTCTTGAGCAGGCAGCGCGAGGGTGACGGGGGGCACAGAGCGGGCACAGAGCGGGCACAGGCTGGCAAACGAGCAGTACGTCTGTGAAGGGGGGCTGCACAAAGGAGCCTGTTGTTGGGCAGACTCAGACTCCATTCTCATGATTTGGACTTCACGAGTGGCTGTGCTGTTTGGCTTGGGCGGAGAGCACAGAGAGCGGGCGGACAAAGGCGGCAGGACGGTGAGACATTCTGTGAGTCTGTGCACGGAGGAGACGTCGTGTACACGGCCATAAATCTCCTGTCACTTATAAACGTATGTGCACATGCTGATACAGAGCGCAGAGCTACTGTCTCCGTGCGAAATGTTCAACGCTATTTCAACACACTATTTCATGATTCTTTTCACTGGCTCCAAGTTATAATGGATGGCAATCGTTCATGTGCTCTCATTTGTAAAAGCTCAATGTTCATTGTTTGGCCTCAGTTAGGAAGGGTTTGAAGATGTCTGCTTGAATAGTTCTCTCCATCGGGATTGCAAGGGTAGATTACCTACAAGCAAGCATCTGTTTTTTAAGATTTAGTCTTGATTTCATAAACTCATAGATTTTTTGTAACAGAACATGAAATATCTATTGTCAATTGTAGCCATTTTAAAATATATTATGTAATTTGTATGAGTGTTTCCTCATTACTGGTCCAAATAATTTCCCTTGTGGATCAATAAAGTTTGTCTAAGTTTAATTAGGTTACTAAGAGTTGTAATTCAGTTAGTTAATTTAAGTTTGAGTAGTCCTGTGTGGTCCTGCATTTGGCTTGAGTGCTTTGAAAATGTCTGCTTTTCCCTACTCCTATCTCAACCTTCTTTTATCTGTATGCACAGTTCATACAAACATATGGTGTTTGAAAATAACGTAACCATTCTTCAGTTTCAGTTTCATTTATCAGTTCTACAATTTTGCGCTGGAAGTCAATGGACCTGTTTCTATTACCATCTACTACTGACTGACTTACAGTGAACGAGAATATGTCCTCTTTAACTTGTGACATGTTCATAAATGATCTAACTGTTATAAGTCTATAATCTGCTCCATTTGAGTTTGCTCTGTCCCAAGTGCTGTTTGGGCCTTCACAAACCAGAGGCCGCCCTGGCAAGCACGAAGCAAACTCTAAAACTCTGCCTTTTAAACCACAGCTGGTGGAAATGTCAATGATACAATGAAGAAAAAGACATATGTTATCAAAAATATTTCTTCCTGACTCTAAAGGTAGTGAAGAAGAGCAGATGAAGAGGCTATGGGTAAATGAGTAGAGAGAAGTTCATTTAATGTACGGCTTAAGACATGATTGGTTGAAAGTAAAATACAGAGACCTCTGATTGGATGGCAGTGACAGTTCACAGAGGTAATCTGGTAGAAACTAGTGATGTGACGTTCATGAATGAATTGGCTCTTCTGAGCGGTTCATTAACGTGAATGGTTG